GGGAAGCGTCGGGGAAGGCTTCCCAGAAGAAAGACGCTTATGCAAAAAAAAAGGAGGTATGAGCTTTTTCTGAAGTTTAGTTATAGTAAGAGGTTCACGGCATTTACAACACAATAATATGTCCATAAAAGCGTCAAGTATTAAAGAGTAATGAACACAAAAAAGAAGAAGAAGAGATAAGGACAACAGACGTTTGATGGGAAGGAAGAGGTAAACCAATATTGGAGCTTCCGCCAACCACCCACGACTAAGCTTTATCTACGTGCTACAGTTGACAAAGGCTTAATGATCGCGGTAAAAAAAAACCCTCTGTTTTACGGTACCGATTTTTCTCCGTGTTGAACGATTATCTCAGAACCCTGTCATATAAATCATTAAGGCCGGAAAATCCAGCCCATCTGGGGTCGAAAGCACCGGGAAAGCTAAATCCCAGTTGCGTGCGTGCACAGTTTGGTACCAGCGAGTCGCAGATATAAGTGGAAGGTCAAAAGGTGAAAGGTTGCATTGATTTTATAGATCCGCGTCACGCGTGTATATTTGACCTTCGTCTGTAAGCTGTTCAATAAATCAGGAGTCCACTGAAAAAACGGGTACAGTCACAAACTGGACATTGTGAGGGTGTCAATTTTAAAAGCTTGTGGACTCGTAACTTCATATTTATTTGATTGTTGGCTTACTTTATAATATGTTTGTTGGATGGGGAATCTAACAACAATAATCAACCAACAGCTGAACAGAAATACAGCTATGAGTCAGCAAGTGTTCAAAATTGATACCCTCACGATTTTCAGTTAGTGACTGCCGTTTTTTGTCAGTGGACTCCTCAAATGTTATGAGCCTAGACAGCTAAATATGTTGGGAGAGAGAAGGGCAAAAACTGTTCCATTTCTTTCACAATTATTGTTTTTAGTAAGAGTTTTACGGCACTTGCTACTCAAAAAAGTCACAAAAAGTCACACAAGTCCCAAAAGATAGGTGTTTTAAGAAAGTAATAAACGCAAAAAGGAAGAGAGATAAGGACGACAGATGTTTGAAAGGAAAGAAGGAGCAAACCACACCAGATAATCCGCTAACCATCCATCTTTAACAACTACCTATTTTATGTATCTTTTCTTGCTTTACAAAAACTAATTTAGAATTCATATTTTGACGAAATATTTCTTAGGCACATGTAACTAATGCCACAGATATAAAGAAGCTGCAATACTTTCTTTTCTTTTTTTCAAAATGTTTGGCTTAGGAGTAGGAGGCCTATGGGGCTTACATCTAAACAGCTGCCCAACACTTCAAATTAACACTTACGTTATTAAAGGTATCTTATTTTGCCAATGTGCAATCGTTATTGGAAATGAAATTATTGTAACCGCAGATGATTTTCGACCCATCGATACAATGTTGGTCATTTAGAGGCGAGCTGCTTCCACTATGTCTGTCAGCCTCC